GTTCTATGCTTATAGGTGAATAAATATGATTTGAAGCGCTGCTAAACTTTTCTAAAAATTATGATACTAGCAATAACCCCAACCTTTCTAATAAAAATTAAAAATTAAAAAGTAAGAAAAGGAACTACATACAGCAGTGAAATTCGGAGAACGGAGAAATGTGGTAAACTTGGAGGGAGTAGGAGGGAAAGAAAAAAGATTACATTTTCAAGTAGCTTATTCATGAGCCTAAGTGATAAACTGAGAGCTGAGAATGGAACCAAGAACGGACTTGCACACCTAACATTCTACCTGCAGAATCTCTTCGAATTGTGACGATGCTGAATAAAGCCATTGAAAACAATTCCACAAAAGTTAGCATCAGCACCGACTCATTCATTAGATTATGAACAACAGAAGATTTCTCAAAATCGTTTCGAATTAATGTCCTAAAAAGTGAATCTCACTACCAAATTCTCTCTTTCATTGGAACACTTGTTCACCATATTCATTTACCTTCTGCAATAAATGACAAAGAGCCGTACGGCGATTGGCAAGCAGCTGCATAACCGCAACATCACATTCCCAACAACATTGATTTCAAAAAGATTCAGAATTGATGGAAGAGAATTTTTGGGGAAAGGTACCGTTGTCTGAAATTATAATAAACATATTATTTGAAGATAAGTGTATTGTGCTTACTTACATTACATCGCAATCGAAGGGAACCGTATTTTGTCCAGAACGCTTTGCGAAGTTCTAGTGGAGTGGGAAGATCATCCAAGTAAAGGGAACCAAGTACACCAACTGAGATTGATTCATTGAGCACATAGCGTATATGCAAAGGCAAAAACTAATTTCATGGTCAGAGCAAATAACTTATTTTAAGGATGGATTTTTTTTAAAAATCCATTCCAGTTTTTGTATCGAGGTGGTTCATACTAAAGGTCGCTTCAGTTTGGGATGGAATATATTTCACGTTGATTTACCCAGCTGGTAAGCGACTATTAATTGACTTTAGCTATTCCATCAAATTAGCATATGTTTTTGCGACAACATTACCTCTCATTAACATCAAAAGGCAGCAATACCAGAAGTTTTTCTTTTCGAAGTAATGCGGCTTATGGTTCATGTAGACCATTATGTGTAGCCTCGCTGTGAAGTTACAACTCGAAACCTACTGCATATCATTTTCGCTTATAACAAACGA